TAGAGTAGCAACGAAAATAATTTTATGGTTGGGGGTCACCACAACATGAGGAACTGTATTAAGGGGTCACGGCATTAGGAAGGTTGAGAACCGCTGCCTTACTGTATTTATGTGGGGGCTGAAAGGAGAGGATTTAATTGACCTTCTTCATATGCCTACCGACAGTGACATAAATAGCAGGTAAAACAAATCCTAAGGAATCTGTGTGTCTAGTCCTTACTCACCTGTTCCTGTTGCTGCTTGGCCAGTTCCATTTGCTGGCGCTGTTTCTCAATCTGCGATGCAGCCAGTTTCTTCTGCTCATCGTGGGCAGCCAACAACTGCTCTCGCAGACTGGTCAGCTGATTGATCATACCCATGAGCTGCCGCTCCTTCTCAGCTAGGCTTTCAGGAGTCCCTGAAAATAAGATGACAATAAAACATACAAGAAAGAAGAAATGAGAAGACAGTGATTTTTCAATGGCAATAATTCTATTGTATAGAGAACCATTCAAATATAAGGTTTAACACACATACACTTACCTTCTTTTAGATTTTAACTCAACATTAAAAAGTGATGGTTATTAGCCATTACAAAATATCAGAATGAATGAATGTTTTGATTTTTTAAATTTATAAAGTAATAATCTATAGCTTTTTTCCCTTTTATTTTACAAGTAAATCAAAAGCTGTAGGCTGACCAGCTATTATTTTTTGTGTTATATACTGGGATCTGATGAAAATAAAAAGCACCTACACAGTTTTTTTTTAATCAATTAAAGAAGCAAGAAAAAAACATGAAAATTTAATAACCATAATTATTAAGAGATCAAGGTATTATTATCAGTGATGTGATTCTTTAAAAAGAATCTTTAAGAATCAGAACTAAGGAACCCTACATTAAAAAGGGAGAAAAACAGCTGTTAGCCAATCAAGTTTTTGACTGTTTGCTCATGGGCCGCTCAGACTTTCTTCAAAAATAGAATACAGCTAGCAGAGAAAATATTCAAGTGTGAGAATATAAGTTTAGTCTATCATGAAATAATGTAATGTTGTTGGAAAACTAACAGATTACATTGTGGTCACCCAAGATTATAGTTAAATCCATGATATGGAGAAGTCACAGCAGTCATTTAAAATAAATGCTCAAGGGTTTAAAACATGCCAGTGAATTGTCTTAGTCAGGCTAAAATCCTTATTTGATACAATGGAAATGTGAGCAGTTCACGGAAACAGACACATTATCACTTTTAATTGTTCTTTCAAAATTCACCATATAGACAAGACCCCTGTGGTAATGTACTAGCAGTTGGAGAGAACATACTTTTAATGACAATTTTCACTTGAAACATAAGACACTAAGCACTATTTTAATAATGCATCTACCACCTGTATATGTAATTAAATAGAAAAATCTGTTAAAACTCAGGGTTGGTTCCTTCTGAGGGCTGTAAGGAGAGGATCTATCCAAGACCTTTCTCCTAGGCTTACAAATGGCCAACTTTCATCTGTGTCTTCACTTTGTCTTTGTACATATCTGTGTCCAAATTTCCTCTTCTTATAAGGAAACCTGTCATTAGATTAGAGCCAACCCTAATGACCCCCATTTAAACTAAATGACTTCTGTAGAGACTCTGTCTCCAAGTACAGTCACATGCTGAGGTAGTAGGTGTTTGAACTTCAACATATGAACATTTGGGAGGACACTTCAACTCATAACAATTTCCTTTACACAAGTGACAATATAACAGAAACACTGCTGTACAGTGCTTAGGGAAAACTTCCCTTCTCCATCTCCACTGTCATTCTTCATCATCTTTTTCATGAATTATTGTAGCAAACTTTAATAGAACTAACTTACGTCATTAATGTGTCTCTCTGCAAGTATATCCTCTAAATAAGTACCAAAATAATATTCTTAGAAAACAAATCTAATCATGTCGCTTCTTCTGTTTAAACACCTTCACTGTTTGCAGAATAAAATGTCAACTCATTTTTAAGAATGAATGAGGTCCTTCAAAATATAACCCAACCTTCCCACTTCCTTTGTGCATCCTAAATTCTAGCTACACTGAATTTTTTGCCATCCTTCCCAAATGCCACCATTCACAAGTGCCAACTACATAAACATTCATTCTTTATGTTCCAGCTCATGTGTCTTGTTTTTTATGATTCTTTTCCTTATTCCCACTAATAACAGTTGTTCCCCTTTCGGGGGGATCTACATAATATATACATTTATTGTGGTACTTAAACATTATATTCTATTATCATATTTTCACATTTGTCTCCTGAAGTCAGCAGAGATAGTTGTGACAGCAACAATTGTAAATTACCAACTTTTATATCTCCATTACCTACCATAGCACCTGGCATATAGGAAGTCACCTGTAACTGTTTAATGAGTGGCATAAAGAATAAAGTCCCTTCCCTTTAAACCACTCTCCAGTTTAGGCATGCTATGTAGCCAAGAGAAACAGGGACATGTTTGATCTTATATCACTTGCATAAGTGTTCTGGTTTGGGCTCAAGAGAATTGAGCCAAAGAACTTAAGCTTTTATAAAAGACATTTTCCCCATTTTTATAAAAGTACTAAACCAAGAGAAGGAGTAAGCACCATGGTTTCATCTCTAAATTATCATGTTCTTTATAATTATCTCCCAGTGAGTGGGGAGGGTCCACTAAGTGATCTATGAACATTGAAGAAACTAGAAATGGCCACAAGACATCCTAGACTAAAAAAAAAAAAAAAAAAAAAAAGGAAAGAAAGAAAATTTGATCATTGGAAAATCCCGGAGGCCCACTAAACAAAAAAAGGAGCTACTGAGGAGCTCCTGTTTCTTTACTTAGATTGAAATTTTTAGGATTCATACAATTACGTAACACTGTGGGGACCCAGTGGTGTATGCATGGACTAGCTCCATCAGATTCCGGTAACTAATGATATGAGTTTGTGTATATGCGTGTTTCATTGATAATAATTTATTTTCATTTTTTTCCGTTATTTGCTTTGCAATCTATGCTAGTCCTGCTTCAATTCCCTTGGAAAAAATGATTACTAAAGTAAGAGACAAATATATTCTATGTTTCAGTGCTTCCTACTGCCTAGTAACTACAGGCATGATAATCATTTGAGTGATTCTTATGGTTCTGTAGGTTCCACAGAAAAAGCACATGACAGAACATGGCTTCATATAAAGCAACAGAAGTCATGAGGGAAGGAAACCAGCTTTAGTGGTCCCCATCTCAGTAAAAAATATCACCATTCATACATTGTTTGGATTCTTTTTTTGCCTCATCTTCTATATCCAATGCATTAGGAACGCTGTTAACCCTAGAAAATATTATAAATCAGTCCATGAGTCATCATTTCCAGTACTAAACCTTAATCAAGACTACCATCATCTATCTCTTGCCTTGACTACTACAGCAGTTTTCTAAATAACTCCTTTGCCTGCTTCCACTTCTTCCCCTATTTAAAACCTATTTTCCAAGCAAACCTGCAGAGTGATATTTAGAAAGGTAAATCAAACCATGGCATGTGCCTGTATAAAAAAACCATTTCATAGCTTCCTACTGCATATAGAATAAGATCCAAACTCCCTACCCTTACAAAGCCCTGAATGATCAGACCCTCAACCCCTTTTGGTATCATCGCCTTCTCCTCACTTTATCTTTCGCCAGAACACTTCCGTCAAATGGCCTTCTTTGAATTCGTCTAAAACCAATATGCAAGCTTGCTCCTACTTAGGGCCTTTGTACACCAATATTTCCCCCTGGAAAACTCTTCCTCTAGATCAGGGTTTCCTAACTTTGGTACCATTGACTTTTAGATACAATTGTTTTTCTGGGGAACTGTGTTGTTTAGTGTCACTGGCTACATGCTGATAGTCCTCCCCACCTAGTTATAACATGCTAAAATGTCTCCAGGCATTGCCAAATTTCACCTGGCAGGACAAAATCATCCCCAATTAAGCACTACCTCAAATGACTGGCTCTTTTCTTCCATTCACTCAGCATATATCCACAGAAGAGTTCCTCCTATGTGCCTCACACCATTCTAGGTGTTGGGGATGCTACGGTGTGTAAGCCAGACAAGAATGTCTGCTTCATAAAGTTCACATTTAAATGGAGGCGATAATCAATCAAACACAGGTCCATCCAGATAGCAGTATTTGTTCAATAAATGAATAAAAACTAACTTAAGTTAGTCTAAATTTACAACTATCGCTTCTTTCAGTGGCCCTTTTATCCAACAAGGGAGGAAGACAGACACCCCCCTCAGATTACCTGAGATCTGATTCTTATTCAAGTCTGCTTGTTTTCAAATGGACTAATGCTATTTAAACAGAATTATCTCTTTCAAGCCACATACTGAATCTACGTATCTCTTTTATCTCAAAACGTTATGTCACATAAGAGAGGATCTACTTTAATCTACATGTTGAATCCACATAAGATGTCTTTCATTCATGAGTTCTGAAAGGCTACAGTATTGCTGAATGGAGTCTTTCCTTGAATCCATTATTGGCATTATAGAGCTGCTCCATGTTTGCCTTTATGTCCCAACTTCTAGAAAAAACAAAATTATAGCTTTCAGAAACAGCCAATTTTTATTACACTAACTGCAGCTGGCAATCCTTAAAACCAGATTAAACGCTCTGCCGACCTAAATTAATTCATTGTGAACAGGGTGAGAGGGGTCTGTCTACCAGGCATACCGATGGGAAAGAAACCAGGCTCTAAAGAATTCTTCAAAGAAGTCAGGTGGAGAAACTGATCTAGGCGTTTCTGAGTGACCTAGCCAGAAAACCTTTCAAACAATGCCCTTCTTTTATAACCTCACCAAGGTAGAAATAGCTGAGAGAATTTCACAGGCCGATATTTCTGTTATAATTCTACGAATAAATGTAAGTCAGGAAAACACAATTTTTTTCAATGACTTTATTGAAAAAAAATGATCTGTTTAGATAAGTCAAATCCACCATGGATCCCAGACACGGTCCTCCAGTGAAGTACCAATGCAATGACCTTTGGCGCGGTGGAATTTCATGCTAGCTGAAACAACGTGTGACACCATTGGTTGCCAGCTGGAATGCTGGCATTGTTTTTTTCCTCCTTCTCAATAACGCTGAGGTTATAAAAGGTATTTCTTCATCTTTCACACAACCTGCATTCAGTGCTTCTGCTATAGATAAGGGCAAAAATCTGTAAACTGGCCAGTTACACCATATGGCTGATTAGAGAAGAAGAAATAAATAATTTCTCCAGATTTATAACACATACTGACTGTTTGCGGTCAGCAGAGCTTTTTAGTCAAATTGTACCTTTGTGCAAAGTGTCTTTGCAGTGTCTTCTTTAGAGGGTTGTTTCTAATGTAACTTAAAAATCTAATTACTTCACATTTCCAAAGTACCAGACCATAAAATGGTTTAAATTCTAACAGGCAAAATAATTTAACAGGAAAAATTAATTTTATGCTCTTAGACGTGGTGACCTTTGCAAACTCACATTGTTTCTTAAAAAAAATGAGATTGACTTTAAGTGAGTATGACAACAATTTAGGGATAGCTAAACTATCCAAACTGAAATGCTATTTATTTCTCTCACTTTAAAAAGTTTTTAAGTTTTACTTTTTAAATAGCAATAGCAAGAATACTTCTCTGAACTTTGCCAAACTATAATTTTAATTTTTGTCCAAATGCCCTGAACATAATTCACTCACAGGAACTTGAAGCCAGCACTTAGCAACAGGGCTCTGTCTTCACTTGGCTATAGTCTTAGATATTTGAGAATAGGTGCGTACACACACACACACACACACACACACACACACACACACACACACATATTCACTCACTCGCTCTTTCCTGGAACTCATTAAAAGTTAAATGAAAACTGACCAGTGTGAATGGAGGAGAAAAGTTTCAATCTGCAAGAAGATTCAGTAAATACTCTGGCTCTACACATCCTAATATATGCAAAGATTCCATTCAAATACATTATTCTAAAGTATCATTAATAAATCACCTAAGAAAGGAATGCGTTCATCTTTTCAGATGAAAAACAAACAAAAAAAAGCTCATGGTCATCCTTCCCTACCCTGATCAAAAACAGTGTACCCGTCCATGAGACTTTCACGTTTATTTGCCTCATAAATAAACAGCTGCCAAACAGCTAAGCCATTGTTCTCGCCTAATTTCTGAGGTGGCATGAAAACCACATTCCGGGGCGCTGCTAATCATTGTGTCTGACCCCCAAGAACCATTAAGTCAAATTTATTTACCCCCAGAGGGCAACACACTATTGTATCCTCTTCACTTTCTAGCCACCTATGAACAATGGATAGTAATTGCAACTGTCACAGGCAGTCAGCAGGAAAAGTAACCCCGGCGCAGTTTTCCCAGTCTTCTGCCAAACCTGATCCAAGCACCTAATAATCACACACCCCCAACCGAAGAAAGATCTACAGTGCTTTTACATGCATCAGAAACAGCTTTTTGAACAGAACTGGAGGACAATAACGAAACTTGTGCTCTGAATGTGAAGCTCAAAAAACTCAGAATTAAAGACAGAAACTTCTTTTGTGACTGTACGATAGCTTCCCGAGCTAACCCCAAAGGCAAGCCTGAAAGAACAGCTGAGCTTCTCTCCTCTACGCTTATCATTACTGCTGGGGCTGCCTTTAAGTCGGACTTGTCAGGAAAACAAGGGAGGGAAAAACGTGTGACCTCCAATGGAATAAGATCACAAGATTTGGAACAGGCGGTCTCCTCTGCTCTTCTCTCAGTTATTACCTAGGTCAGGGGAGAATAAAGAACCTTGGAGAATACAGCCTACACCTCAGGTACAAATGGGTTAAAATCCAACAAACGGAAATCAGGGATCTGCTGCCTCAGAAAAAGAAACGTCTCTGTTGTATTTCAACTTTGTCTCCAAGCTCTTTAAGGCATATCATTAATTGTTTAAATGTGGTTCCATTATAGGTTTGGGTTCCTGAATTTGTTGATTCGCACCTATCCATTCACACTCAATCAGAGCCTGAATGAATATTTGCAAACTCCAAATACATGGATGAAAAGTGAAATATTCAGTCAAACGTTTTCTGGAAGTTTTAAATTCCTGAGATGTTAGTGTCATGGTAGGTCAAACATTTGATAAGACCAATCTATGCTTTGGCTTTCTCCAAAATCCTCTGGTGTAGTACTAGAGCCTTGAGAGAGACAACTGCCTCTCTCATTGGGAGGACTCATGCACGTACACACATAAGTTATTTATACACATATTTCTACATGTATATTAATATAAACCTGGTGATATTTTAGATAGCTATTCAGCCTCTGTCACAAAATATGCAGAGTAATAGATAACTAAATATTTTCATATTGATGAATAAGTATTGTTTTCTAAAAGAATAATCCTTTTGAACTCAGAATCAAAAGTGTTCTATTGGCAACAAATAGAAAACCATAGATTGCCTACTATTCTCTGAGAAATCATACTTTTCAATTAATTTGAAAGGCTTATTTGATTCTATTTTTTAATATGAGAAATTAAATCTCCCCTTGTTATTAGTAAAAGTTTATTAAGATATGAATATTCAGTATTATCTGAAGTCCATATAGAATTTTCCTCTTCGTTGTATGTAATTTCTGACTCAAGGAAAAAACAAAACAAAACAGAAATGTTGTCCTTCTTGTGCAAAGCAACCTTTTAGTAAGCTTTCGCCATTCATCATTTTTGGCTTTAAATGTAGATTATGTACATTTATACTTCTAATATGCATAATATGTAAATTCATCTCATAATAGGCAGTTTTGAACCCTGCTGTAGAAACATTCCTAATTATAAAGTAAATTGTTTCAATTTTTTAAAATAACAAAATCCAAAGCCCATTAAAGATATAGTGGAGTTATTCTATTAAAACAATATGCCACTTATCCCATAAGCCACAAAGAGAGAAAAAAAGAACCCTGATACATCCACTTTCAAGCTAGAAAGAAGAAACACCAAAGACAGAGAATTTACAAAGCAGAAGGAGGTGGGGACAGAAGTACTTCATCACCATTCATATTCCTAAATATTAACTTCATTTTGGTACATTTTGGATCGAAATAATTGCAAACGTATTACCTTTTATTTCACCAAAGTTCCCTGATCCCATTGCAAGAAGCTTGTCTTTCCAGTCCTTTGAGAGTAGCTTTTCAATACTGGGGGTTTCTAAGTAAAGAAAAAAAAAAAAAAGAAAGCAAATCAACATGACTATCTTTACAATGGAGCTCATTAAAAGTCTATCTGCTAAAAATAAGGCTATCCCTATCCCTGCTCCAGTTCATAATGACTTCATCAACAAACTGATAACAGGGGAGGGAAAAAAGAATGTGTTTTGTCACCTGCTGTTTCAAAATCATTAGCTTTTTCCTCTTGTGGAACAAAGCCGTTCTAATTCTTTATGACAATGGGTACGTATAAACCTGCAGTTCATTGTTTTTCAATTTGGTGAATACATTCCTGCTATAATGGATGCTTGTCAATTTCAGGGTGTTAGTCTGCAGTCAAAAAATAATTATGTTGATAAAATGTAGAGCAAAAAAAGGCAAAGAATTAGCTCTTAAATCTGCTACATGTAATTATATCCCTCTGTGTGTTTACAATTACATCTACTTTATAATATGTGTTTAACATTGTGTGGTGGTAAGCACACTGTGGTAAGATTTGCCAGTACGGCGAACATTAAAAAAAAAAAAAAAGTTGGTATGAAAGAAGCTTTACAAAGATTGTAAAAATCTAGATTTAGTAAGTAATGCCTATAATGGAAACCTATTATTTGCTTATTTCTGATTTGTATCACACTATTTTAAAATGCCCTGTATTGGGACAGGGTACACATTTTAGAGAGCAAAGTTATGCTTCAGTTTGATATTTGTTTCTATAGATCCCATGGTTTTGCCCTCTCCTTTTGTGTTTGGATTTTCATGTATAAGTAAATATAAATGCTAATAAAACTCCCCAACATTAAACTGGGTTCCAAACAATGTAATTGTATATTCTTGTCAGCATTTAGATGGGCCACAATTACAATGGCTTTCAATACCACGATTAGCATTGCATTCAGTTAGAAAATGGAGTGTACTAAAAGATAAGTGTCCCAGTATGCTCCATCTAAATAACAATACCCACACTTATTATCTGGATCTAAGACATACACTGCCATTCTCCACATTGATGTTTATGTGTATTTGTGTTTGTTCAGACATTTGTCTACCCCCTACTAGGAGCATAAAGGGAGTACATGTTAACTTATCAAAGGGACCGTCTGGCCTAGAGACCATAAGATTATCAGAAACTGGTTAATTTTCCCCACATAAAATGCATTTTAAGGCATCTTCACCCTCATCTTTAGCTTATGCTACTACCTATTTTTCTTAGGTCTCAATCTTAACAGCCATTAGCCATCAGAGTCACAAAGCTGGTGTGGAGTGTTTCAATAAAGTGAAGGTGAAATTTTCCTTGAAATAACTGTAACAATGTGGACTGCTTTGTTTTCACATGTCAAAACTTGTAGAAAATAAAATGGTGAAAAAAACCTACAAAAACTATGAATGATTACTGCTTTACATAGTCTGTGTGTGTGGTGCAAACACACACACACACACACACACACACACTCACACACCACAACTACTGTGTACCCATTTGCCTATGGAATGTGTGAAATGTGGTTCTTTTCCCATGGTAACAAAATATGTATCTCCATTTTTTCACATTTTAGGAAAAAAAGAGCCTAAATAATTAACTTTTTCTTAAAATGATCCCTATTTTTATACCGTATTGTTTTCAACATGGTGGTGACAATTCTATGAATAATAACGTGGATTGACTATATTCTTATACAACAATCAATATTTCTGTTTACAGAGGCTTTCAAGGTAACTTTACTTCTGCAAGGATTTCCACTGTTTCTACATTCCCAGTAAACACTTCATGAGTGAAATTATTTTTTAAACCTTATCAGAGTAGGTCAAACAAACACTACTGTTTCTTTTTTCTAGCACTCTACAAAAATTCTTGAGAAGCATGTAAACAGGGCACAGCCACTATGGTATTTGCAATAGAGTACTGTCAGTCATTAAAAGCTAACAAACCTTTGCAAAGCAGGAATGCAGCCATAGAAATCCATTGTGCGCTAACAATGGGCCCCTGAACCTCGCGGCACCAAAAGCAGACCATTTTACTTTTAAGGCTATTGTCTGCAAAGTCCAGGACAAAGCTTTTCCCCTGCAGCTAGACAAAATATTCACTGTAGTGCGCTCATAAAGAAACAGAAGTCTTCTGTCTAAGTTGCAGAGTTAAAGAAACAGCCACCAGATTTCTGAAACCTGCAAAACGTTCCTGGCCTCTTTATTAACTTGCATAAAGATATGAGGCTCAAATACAGAGCCACTTTTTGCAAGTACCTGGCTTTGAACATGGACTACAGAAAAAAATGAATAACTTCTTTAAGACCAAGTAATTTGAAACATGTAAAATCAGAAATGTATCTAACTTGGGGTGTCCTGTATATGGATGAATAAAGACATTAATACTTGCAATTTAGATGAGGTATAGACTAAATTCAGATTCAATACACATTTATTGAGCCACCTATGTGCCAGGTTTATGCTAGGTGTTTTCACCTGTATGCTCTCATTTCGTCTAGCAAACACCTGAAGACTCAGTTTGTATTATTATATACATTATACAGGTTTTAAAAAAAGAAGAAAAGGACTTATCTGATGTTTCACAAAATGTAATGGGCAGAGCTGAGTTTTGAGCTAAGTTTTTTTTTTTCCTTAAAAATTCCAAACTCGCTTGTTGATGAGGAAATGATGAGTAGAGCTACCATTTTGAGGGCTCAATGCTAAGCGCTGTACCAGGTCCTTTCCACCTGGTTCTTAAACTTCTCATAATAATCTTCTGAATTAGATTTTGGTATATCTGTTTTTTATCATTTAAGAAACCAAAGTTTAGGGAACTATCATGACGTCCAATATGGAGTTAGTTCAATCTACTGAATCCCAATGTCTTTGCTCTTTCTCGTACACACATATTTCATTTCATCTTCAAAACAACTGTGGACAGTAGGCAAAACTATTGCCACCGTAGGGGTTGGAAGCGAATGATCCACAGTGTGGCATCCTGGCAAGCCGATTATTTCAAGCTGAAAACAATTAAATCTCAACAAACTCAAGAAGTTTGTTTACAGCCTCTCTACCTGCCCAAAGAGATTCAGATAGAAAAACCTGCTTCAGGGAGGGAACTTTAGTATTATTCATCTTAGAACTTATAGCAAGTGTGGCAGGCTGGAAGGATCCAAGCAAAAATCTGTTAGCATTAGATGTCCCTTTGTGTCCCACTGTTTCCGGATGGCCCTGCAAGAATTTGTTTACAAAATGTTTGCTCTTTCTCATCCACCTGTGAGTCGCTTACTTCCTCCTCCTTAGTCCAAAATGACATATATACCTCATTTCACCTCATTGTCTGTGATTTTCTTGCTTATGTGAATTCCCATGCATACATATTAAATTTTTATTTTATCCTGCTAATCTGCTCTATGTCATCCAAATTATTCAAACAGCCAGAAGAACTAAAGGAGTAAGGGGAAAGTTTCCTTGGCCCCAATATTATTAACTCCATTGGATGGATGAAGTTAAAACTTGAGAGAGTAAACTGAATTCCCCCGGGTGACATGTACCGATGAGCAGCATGGTGGGGTTAAAAGCTCTGATTTCTATTCATTATTTATTTATTTATTTATTATTGTTAGTTTCAGGTGTACAAAACAATGCAACAGTTGTCCTTTTCACCCTTCACACAGAAACAATCCCCCTCCCCCATCTACTGCCCTCCCACCCCCGATATCATACTTATCTATTACAATTCCATTGACTCCATTCCCACACCACATC